CTCTTGGAGGCCCCACTTCGTAATGTACCTTGTTGGCAACATCTGAATTTTGGATAGGACATTCAAACCACAGTGCCCTCAGAGACCAGGTTATCAGGAGATCTGGGTGCTTGCTTGAAAGTGAAATTGTGTTCATTCAGAAGGAACTGAGTTAAAAATGAAACTTTGTTTTTATCTAAAATAGTCCAGCCTTTGACCTTAGCCACGAATGGTATCACTTTGAAGTTCCAGGTTTACAATCTTGGCCTTTGGAGTCTTGGGGATTTCTTGATTGAACTAGTTGAGATGTTGGCACTGTTTTCTCATCTAGTACCCTCACTTCCTGTCTGTGGCCATTGGCTAAGCATGCTGTCTATAAAGGTCTGTGGCTCCCAGTGTGAAATGAAAGGAGCCCTAGGCATCATGGAGTGCTATGCGACCCCTTACCTTCTTTTCTTTTTTGGATTTCATAGAATCCTTTTTTTTTTATTCATTTATTCACATGTATGTACATTACTTGGGTCATTTTTCCGCACCTCCCTCCCTTCCCCCCTCCTTCGCTTCCAGGCAGAACCTGTTCTGCTCTTATCTCTAATTTTGTTGAAGAGAAGACATAAGCATAATAAGAGAGACAAAGCATTTTTGCTAGTTGAGATAAGGATAGCTATACAGAGAGATTCCTAGCACTGCCTCCATGTACAAACGTGTTACACCGGTTGGGTTCATCTTAACGATCTTTAACACTCGTTCCTGATCCCTTCGCATGTTGACCTCCTGTTGCTTTAAAGGTTTTCTGTATTAGTTCCTCTGGAGTGGGGCGACATCAAACACTTTCAATTTTTGGGTTTTTCCTTACCTATTCCTATATCTCCTGTATTGCTCTCCCCAAGGAGGTACAGTGACTTGGTCACTTGTCATGTTGACCCAAGGTCCAACCAACAACTGCTTGTATTTTTGCCCTAGATCTAAAAGACCAACATATGAGGGAGAAAATACGATTTTTTGGTCTTCTGAGGCTTGGCTAACCTCGCTCAGAATGATGTTCTCTAGTTCTACTCCATTTATTTGCGAATGATAAAAGATTTCATTCTTCTTCAATGGCTGTAGTAAAATTCCATTGTTATAAATAACCACAATTTTCTTTTTTTTTCATTTTTCCTTTTATTATTCATAATGTTGCAATACAAGGATTGGGTTTCATTTCTCCCCATCTGCCCACCCCCTCCCCCTCCCTTACCACCACCACTCCGCCCTCTCCCTCTCCCCCCCCAAATACCCAGCAGAAAACTATTTTGCCCTTATTTTCTAAATTTTGTTGTAGAGAGAGTATAAGCAATAATAGGAAGGAAAACAGAGTTTTTTGCTGGTTGAGATAAGGATAGCTAATACAGGGGCATTGACTCACATTGAATTTCCTGTGCGTGGGTGTTTACCTTCTAGGTTAATTCTTTTTGATCTCACCTTTTCTCTAGACTTTGTTCCCCGTTTTCCTATTGGCCTCAGTTGCTTTAAAGGTATCTGCTTTAGTTTCTCTGCGTTAAGGGCAAACAAATGCTAGCTAGTTTTTTAGGTGTCCTTTACCTTATCCTCATCCTCCCTTGTGTGCTCTCGCTTTTATCTGTGTCATAGTCCCAATCCTTGTTGTTTGTTTGCCCTTGATCTAATGTCTTGCAATATGAGGGAGAACATACGATTTTTTGGTTTTTTGAGCCAGGCTAACTCACTTCAGAATGATGTTCTCCATTCCATCCATTTACCAGTGAATTGATAACATTTTTGTTCTTCTTCATGGCTGCATAAAATTCCATTGTGTATAGATACCACATTTTCTTAATCCATTCGTCAGTGCTGGGGGCATCCTTGGCTGTTTCCATAACTTGGCTATTGTGAATAGTGCTGCAATAAACATGGGGTGGTACAGGTGCTCTGGAGTCACAGTCTTTTTGGGTATATCCCAAGAGTGGAAAGATACCACATTTTCTCATCCATTCAAATCAAGTAAGTGGGGCCACTTGATGTTTCCATAACTTGGCTATTGTGAATAGTGCCGCAATAACATGGGGTGTGCAAGTGCCTCTGGATAACCTGTGTTCCATTCCTTTGGGGTTCCATCCCAGGAGTGGGGATTGCCTGGATCATAATGGCAGATCTTGTTTTAGATTTTTAAAGAAGCCTTCCAAATTTTTTTCAGAGTGTTGCACCAGCATGAGTTACCACCAGCAGTGGTACGAGGGTCCTTTTCCCCGCACATCCCTCGCCAAAAACATAGATGGTAATTCTAAGCAGAGGTGAGGTGGAACTTAGTGGTGGTTTTTGATTTTGCAATTTCCTTTATTGGCTAGAGATTGGTTGACATTTGTTTCCATGTTGTTTTTTTGCCATTTGATTTCTTCTTCTTTGAGAAAGTTCGTTTAGTTTCACCCGTTGGCCATTTTCCTTTATTGGTTCTTGATTTGGGGAGAGTTTAGTTTTTCCCTTAAGCTCCCTTATATTCTGTTATCAGTCCTTTGTTCCCTGATGTTTAATTAAGGTAGCAAATATTTTCCTCCACTCTGTGGGTGGTCCCTCTTCAGTTGAGAAGACCATTTCTTTGTTTGCAGAAGCTTTAATTTTATGAAGTCCCCATTTGTCCATCCTTTCTCTTAGTTTGCTGGGCTGCTGGGTTCTATTGAGGAAGTCCTTGCCCTATGCCTATTAGTTCCAGAGTGTTCTTGCCTCCTTCCTGTACTAACTTCAGAGTTTCGGGGTCTTGATATTAAGATCCTTATCCATTGAGTTTGGATACTATTACAGGGTGATATACCATGGATCTAAGGTTCAGTTTCTTGGCAAGACGGGGTAACCACTTTTCCCAGCAACATTTGTTGAAGAGGCTGTATTTTCCCTCCATCGTATATTTTTGGCATCTTTGTCAAAATAAGGTGGTATAGTTGTGTGGATTCATATCCGGGTCCCTCTATTCTGTTCCCCTGGTCCTTCCATGTCCCTGTTTTTGTGCCAGTACCATGCTGTTTTTATTACATTGGCTTTGGTCATATAGTTTTGAAGTCAGGTATTGTGAATACCTCCAGCGTTGCTTTTTTTGGCTGAGTAATTCCCTTGGCTATTCATGGTCTCTTTGTGTTTCCAAATGAATTTTATGGATAGATTTTTTCAATCTCTGTGAATGAATGCATGGATTATTTTGTGGAATTGCATTAAACATGTAAGTTGCTTCTGGTAGTATAGCCATTTTTACTATGTTGATTCTACCAATCCATGAGCATGGGAGATCTCTTTCTTCAGGGGTTTGTAGTTCTCCTTGTAGAGGTCATTCACAGACTTCCTTTGTTAACTTTACTCCTAGGTGTTTAATCCAACCCCTTATCTCTCAAGGGAGGAAATCACCGAGAGGCCATGTGGTTTACCCAAGGTCACACAGCTGGTCAGCAACTGAACTTGATCTCCATTCAGTGTCCACTGGGGGGTGGGGTGGATAGGGAGAGTGGCTTACTGAATGTGACTTCAGGCTAGCGATCTGGTCTTGGAGCACTGTCATCTCCTTTACACCCATTAGTGGAGCCAGATGGAAGGAAATAGCCTTGCCTGGGTCTTTTCATCTTTGACTTCAGTATTTTATGTATGGTCTAGTCAGCTGTCCCATCCATGTGCTCTGTGGGTTCTGCATCTCCAGATTTAACCAATCACAAATTGAAAAAAGGAAAAAACATTCTGCCTGTATTACACTTTTTTCTTGTTATTATTCCCTAAGTAACAGTTTAACTATTTATATACCATTTACATTGTATTCAGTATCATTAAGTAACCTAGAGATGATTTAAAATATATGATGTGTTCAACGTGTATGTAAATACTGTGCCACTTTACATTAGGAACCTCAGCATCTGGATGGAGATTTTGGTATTCAAGGGGGCCCTGGAACCAATCCCTGAAGGATACTAATGGACAACTGTATTTACCCTACAGTACTGTTCCATTTTAATAATTTTCAGGTTTTTCCTGTGACTCTATAAATTCATTTGAATATAAATTTCCAGGGGGGGAATCTATCTTTACTGAAAAGCAATTTATTGAGTTAAGCTTTAACCATGTCCTCATCTATAAAGGGAATGCTAATGGGGCCAACATGGCCTGGGTCACAGGACACCATCAGATGTGTGGCTTTGCCTCTGTGTGCTGGAAAGGCTCCCCTTTTCCTCTTCAATGAAGTCATCTCTGTTACCTCCAGCTTCTCGTGTATCAGCTTGCTTGTGGGCAGCCTTCTTCTGAACCATAATGGATTTCCTTTTGTGCTGCTTTTTAGAGACAAGATCTTTCAAATATACACAAAGAATGCTGGAAAATGAGTACCATTCCAGACACCTATGTCCTTATGGTTTGGTGTGCCATTTCAGCAGTCATCGCCTGAAGGAGATGGAGCTCCTCATGCTCTCAGGGGCAGGATGCTTCTGGGGTGACTGGTTCCAAACTAGTTTTTTTTTTTTTTGATGGTACTGGGGTGTGAACTCAGAGCCTCCTGCTTGCTAGGCAAGTGCTCTACTGCTTGAGCCACTCTAAAATCCCCATGTTAGTTTTTACATTGCGCTTTCAGCCTGGGTGTTTCTGCCCTTTGTGGATACAGTGATTTATATGCTGGATTTTCTTCTTGCTGCTTCTACCTGCAATCTGAGGCTGATGGCTCTCTCTGAGCTGACTCTGGCTAGCAGTGAGATTCTTGCAGTGATGCTGTGCTGGGCTTACTCAGGTAGGGAGCCTCTGTCCAGGTGTGGGTGTCATGCCATAAACAGCCCAGGAGCCCAGAGGTGGTCCTGCCCTACCAGCTCCCTTCCTCACCCTCCACCATGGGTAAGAGGAGCAGTGTTCACAGTTCACCAACAGGGTTTCCTTTCTCGTGTTTGAAAATACATCTTTTCTACTTCTGAGCTTAGCTATGTGTTTTCAAAGCTATTTTAAAACTTATCCAAGATTTTTATTATGTTTTCTCAGGCCCCTAGAATTGGGGGTTTTCAGGGTATGGTGGAGTAATTACCCAGGCTGGAGGGCTTTCCAGTCTACTTTCCATCACTGCACATCAGAAGACCAGAGCTTCACTTTGCTGCTAAGCTTGTTTCTTGTTGTTCAAGAAAAGGCCCATAGGGTGGGACAAAGTGGAGCACATCTGTGGCCCCAGCTATTTGAGAGGTGGAAACAGGAAGATTGGAGTTTGAAGCCAGCCCGGGCATAGCTAGAAAGACCCCATCTGGAAAACAAACGGGTAAGGGTCTTTGCCCAAGTGGCAGGGAGAGCTCTTGCCAGTATGACGCCTTGAGTTCAATTCCTAGTACTACCAAAATAAAACAAAATAAAGGGCAGAGCCCTTTATAGTTGATAACAGCCCCAATCCTGAAAATATCCAGTGTCACGATCGCAGGTTCCCTGCAGAACCCATTTATGAGCAATAGAAGGCAAAATCTTTGACCTGGTGATGGGTGCCCACCTGCCCAAGTTGTAGTGTCTCTTTGGGGCTCAGTCTCAAGAGGCCCGAAGAAGGCTTCCAAACTGTGTGTGGCAAGTGGGCATGTGAAGGCCATAGCTTAGGCCTCTGGGGCAGGTACAGCAGTCCACAAGGGTAGCACTGAATAAGCCTGAAGAGTTCTACGCTCTTTTCCAAACTGGATAGAATCAGAGTTTCCTCCAAATGCATGTTGTTATTTTTACAAAGCTTTATTGAAACTTGTACATCAAGGTGACAGCAATTCAGTGTTTGGAAAACAGTAACAAAAAAATGGGTACCTGAACTCAGGTTTATGAAATAAATACTGGACCCCAGCGAGCTTGTTCCTGCCTTTCCCAGCAAGAACAAAGGGTATAGTAAGTTCTGACCGCATGACAGGAGCCTGTAGCAATGGATACATTGGCAGCATCCCCCCGGAAACTGAACTGAGTGGAAAGAGGTCCGTCTGCTCTGGTCCAAGGATGTCTTCCCATGGGAAACCAGCAGGCTGCTGTCAGGTTCTAAGTTCCTTTCAGGACAAGCAGCAATGACCACCAGGGCCTTCTTTGCTGGCGGGGGCACAGGTCCCCAGCAAAGTGGCACAGGCCAGAACTGGATGGAGAGTGGGGTGCTTCTGCAAGTTGTCATGGTTGACACCGTCACCTCTTTATGACTGGAATAGGGAACCAAACAAGGTTCCAGCTACTGGTAGCCAGTCCTCAGGCTCGTCCAGGTGAATGGAGAAATCGGCAGTGAGTTTTGCAGTCTGTTCCGAGAACAGATTATTGCTGAGCACAGTCACACGATCTATATTCTAGTCGTGACTTATTGCCTTAAGACTGGATAGCTAGCCACCTCTGGTCTAAAAAAGTACTAAGTGCACACAGTGTAAGAAACAATTGCAAAACTTCATCTGGAAATCAGATAGCTTTTAATTTCGGTAGAAATTACACCTCCCTGAAGCAGAGAAGGGGAGGCAATCTATTGCTTTGATTTGGAAGGACAAGCAAGACTGAATATTATTCTTAAGCTCCACAGCCAGGCTTCAGTAGGGCCAGGCCAGTAGCCTTAGAGATGCCCAGACAATGAGAAATTCGGTGTGGCCTCAGTCCCTGCTTCCCAGAGTTTTATTAGCAGGGTGGCTAGCATTCAGTTTTGGCTTAAGAAGAATACCAGCCATCTGAGAGTTTGCATGTTACAAGTACACCTGTCCTCATGCACTGTGGGTTCAAGAGCTGCAGAGCTTCAGTTTTCCCTTACATCTTTCTTGGACAGGTACAGACCCAGGCTCTTCCAGGGCCACTGTGCCTAGACAATCCTTCAAGTAGAACTAGGGCAGGGATGAAATGTCTTAGAAAGTGTGAAATGAGAAATTCAGTCCATTCCTCTAGTAGAAAGCATGCACATGGGGAGCCTGGTGATGCCAGCTGTCCCTGGGGCCCACCATCAGCTCCCAGCTCTTCATATGGGCTTATACAACAAGGTGGTGACGTATTTTTTCTTGTACCGGTGGGTTGCGCTGAGCACCATCACTCCATCCTAAGAAAGAGGGTGGGAAGGATTGAGGGCAGGACTGTCAGGGGCTCAGACTTAGAGGTGCATGAGAATCATGACAGGGCTTAAGAAAAATAAATTCCTGGGCCCACCTTCAGAACCTGAGCCAGATCTGCCTCAGGCCCTGGAAGCTGCCCCTTAGGCAATCCCGGTGCTAGGGGTCCTCAGAGCACACACTGAAAAATAGTTAAGGACAGTCAGGTCTTTACCTTGATGGAAAGTGCATAAAGGTGGTTCAGCATGACGTGATTAGGCTCAGGGAGCAGTGCTGGATCACACTGTGAGGGAACAAAGACACGAACACTTAGGATCTGACAATCAGATGACTCTTGCTCTTATTTCACAGCATAGGAAAGGAGGCAGGTGCTCCTGGAGAAGGATTTGACCAAGGTAATAGGTGAGGTGAGAGGGTCAAGGGAGTTTCCTCATGTCAGCTGGATGCACTAGTTGTGTATTTCTGGCCAGGTTTTTACCCTGACCTCTAAATGTGGCTACAGTTCTGTTGTCTTAGAGGATAATGAAGGAAGAGAGGAGCTGTCGGATGAAAGCACTTTCAAAGAATGCAAGAAGATATGATCTATACAAAGCACTCCTGAGCAGATTTCAAACTCAGGAATCTAAGTTGTAGACAATGAAGTTCAAGAATGAAATGGGTAAGTGTAGCTCTCTAAGAGCTTATATAGGACTGACAGTGTTGTCATACCTGTCCTTTTTTTTTTTTAAAGAGAAGCCAGAAATCTGGCTTCTTTTTCATTATACACTCTCAACTTTTATAAATAATTCAAATGAGAAAAGAAAGTGTAGAGGACCATTCTGTGGTGTGGTCCCTACTTTAGGGGAAGGGGTGTTATACTCATCATGGTCACTCAACACTAGGGGAAGCTCTAGCCCTGAAGCACTTCAAGATCTCACGGCTGCTTGTGGCCGCTCATGGTCCAAAGTGATGGTGTGAAACCCAGAACTCTGGTTCTGCCCTGTGCTCAGTACTGCTAAGGTGTGACCATGTCTTCCCAAATGAAGAGACCAAGTGCCTTCACAACAACGATGCAGTCATTCTGAGATCCTCTGGTCTAGGGTTTGGGAAGCCCTGAAGCGGTATGGGAAGATCTTCTTAGGGCCATAATGGCCTGCAATCCCACAAGGGTTGTGCATGCTGCTTGAGAGGAAGGAGGAGATGGATTTCCAAGAAAGGCAGTTCCTCGTTTCAGCTCTGCCACCATTGGTTAATATTTTGAGCCGTGCACTTGACTTTACTCTAGCCTTAGGATCCCAGAGGTGGCTGCTCACCCATTTGTCACCAGAACTCAGTAAGCCTCTGCTGGGAAGGATGTGCAGGGCAGCTGGTGAGAGCAAGGTACTCATCTGCCTCCTCTGAATGCTGGCTCAGCCAATTATAGTGTGACTCTGGGAGGTTTTGAAAAGTCAGCTAACTTTTAAAGAACGACAGGTAAAAACTGTGCTAATTGGTTGTGTACACCACAGTATTTTGAATATGTATACACTGTGGAACGGCTACCTTAAACCAGTTACATATGCCTTACTTTAGACAATGATCATTTTTTGTGGTTAAAACAAAATTTACTCTGTGCGCTATTGGTAGGTATATAAATTGCTATGGCCTGTGGAAAACAGTAAGGAGATTCTCAAAAGCTACCATATGACTCAGCAACCCATCCTCTAGGTATTGTCCAAAGGAAGTGAAATTTGTATGTCAGAGACATCTGCCCTCCTGTGCTCATTATAGTGCTATTCAAACAGCCAAGACATGGAATAATCAACCTAAGGGTCTGTTGATGGATAAATGGATTAAAAATGTAGTATATATTCACAATGGACTACTACTCAGGTTTAAAAAGGAAATGCATCATTTTCTACAACATGGATGAACTCAGGACATTATGCTACGTGAAATAAGCCAGATGCAGAAAAGACAAGACCGCATGCTCTTACTTGTATACAGAATTTAAAAAGTTGGGACACACAGAAGGAGACAGTAGGAAAGTGGTTACCACAGGCTGGCGACGGTGGTGAGGGAAATATAGCATTTCAGTTAGACAGGAGGAGTAAGTGCAGGAGGAGTCACTTCACAGAGGTGACTACAGTTAGTGACAATGGTTCTATTCCCACGCCCCTCTAAGAAGCAGTTTTAAGTGTTACTGGCATGTTATTTAATTACTCCTCTTCCATAAAGTGGAGGTAATAACAGTTCCTACATCAAAGGGCTATTCTGAGGCTTAAATAAGAGCACGTGAGAAGCACTTGCACTAGTTCAGGGCACAATTAATTCGTCACTCAGAATTCTATTTGTAACCAAAGTCTATGTGAGAGCTGCCTTGGACAGAGGTCCTGGTGCTGGCTCTCCCAAGTCCATATTCCTAGGCCATTGGCTGGCCTGCTTCCAGAGGCATTGAGTGTCTTCAAACCTACAAACTTTTGTAAAAGGAGTTAAGGAGCAGCCCCCCCCCCCCCCAAGTGCTTTTAGGATGAATGCCGAATGTCCTTGAAGTTCTTCACCTGTGGCCTTTTTTTTTTTTTTTTTCATTTTTCTTTTATTATTCATATGTGCATACAAGGCTTGGTTCATTTCTCCCCCCTGCCCCCACCCCCTCCCTTACCACCCACTCCACCCCCTCAATACCCAGCAGAAACTATTTTGCCCTTATCTCTAATTTTGTTGTAGAGAGAGTATAAGCAATAATAGGAAGGAACAAGGGGTTTTGCGGGTTGAGATAAGGATAGCTATACAGGGCATTGACTCACATTGATTTCCTGTGCGTGGGTGTTACCTTCTAGGTTAATTCTTTTTTATCTCACCTTTTCTCTAGTACCTGTTCCCCTTTTCCTATTGGCCTCAGTTGCTTTAAGGTATCTGCTTTAGTTTCTCTGCATTAAGGGCAACAATGCAGCCATGAAGAAGAACGAAATGTTATCATTCGCTGGTAAATGGATGGAATTGGAGAACATCATTCTGAGTGAGGTTAGCCTGGCCCAAAAGACCAAAAATCGTATGTTCTCCCTCATATGTGGACATTAGATCAAGGGCAAACCTGTGGCCTGTTTTGAGGCATTGCCAACTTAGTGCTGGAAACCTGGTTGGCCCTGTGGGTTCTGAGGGATGCTGCTCTTCTTCCCAACTAACACGAGAATGGTCAACCTAGCAACCATAGTGTGCTTGGGCACTCTTGGCACAGAAGGGGAAGCTGGTACACTGAGAAAGGTGAGTCTCACTGGGATGGGATAACAAACACCAAGACCCTGCCCTGGTGGCCCAGCAGTTACTGCTGTAGGGGCCACCTGCCCAAGGATATTTAGCTCATCTCAGCATATGCCCTCCAATTCTGGGTGATATCTTAATCCCCAGTGCAACAGTGCTGACAGGTGGGGCGTAATAAGAGGTGATTAGGTCATAAGGGTGGTGCATGGGTTAATGTCAGGACCAGGAAAGTGGAACAGTCACCTCAGGACTGGATTGTTACAAAAGCACGTTCAGCCCTTTCTTGCCTTTAACCCTTGTGCCACGGGATGATCACAGCATGAAGGCCCTTGCCTGAGCCATGCTTTTGGACTTCCCAGCCTCCAAACTCGCAAACCCAAGACATTTCTGTTCATCAAAAAATGACCCAGTCTCAGTTGGGTGCCGGTGTCTCACACCTGTAATCCTAGTTACTCAGGAGGCAGAGATCAGGAGGATCATGGTTCAAAGCCAGCCTGGGCAAATAGTTTGTGAGACCCTATCTTGAAAAAACCCATCAGAAAAAAAAAAAAGACAGTCTCAAGCATTCTATTATAGTGGCAGATAATGGACTAGGACAGTACTTCATAAGCATGTGCTCTTAGGTGGTAGCTTGGACCAAATCATAATTCCAGGACAATTCAGGCTAAACAGAATGGAAAATAACCACAAGGAAATAACTTCAGGACCCAGGACACACACTTCTTTTTTGTATGCAATTGCAATTTCCTAGAGAAAATGTGTGTTGGCCAGACACCTCAAATTTTGATCCAGGATCACTAATGTTTCTGCAAAACAATTTAGACTAAAATAAGATTCTAAAATGTAAGGGCCAAAGGAGGAATTCCAATACATGGCTTATTAAGAAGGGGTAGCTGAGTATTGTTAAGGGTAGTCATGAAATTTAAATGGAATAGGGGTGAGGCAGGAGGGAGAGCCAATGAAGAAAAGTTCAGGAAAGTTTTGTGAAAAGGGGAGGCAGCACCCATACTCTGGAACCTCTTGTGAGCAGCCAGTCCTGTAGACACAGACTGTACAGCTCACTGCAATGGGCAAACACTGCACATGTTCTCCAGCTGCTTTGTAGGTGGACAGAAAGGGGAGCAGATGAAATGACCATCTGGGTAGAAGCCTGTACTCACAGAGATCCCCGTGTCCTTGTTCAGGATGACCTGGAGCAGATGTGGAGGGAGAATGGGTGGTGCTTTAAAACGCTCTTCTGGTTTGGAGACATAGGGTTCCTGATGGTAGGGTCCAGGTGGGGAACTGGAGAGTTCTGTTGGGAAACAGTGACAGGACATTCTGAAAACCACAAGTTCTAGGAGCAGTCTTATTTAATGATGGTGTTATCATCTAGCTTTCCTCATCTCTTGTTCCCTTAATACAGATTTATATTCTCTTGAAAGACATACAGGCCCCAAAGGTGCAGAGTGGAGGAATTGAGAGAGCCCTTTTAGAATTTGGATGCTAAGAATAAAAATGGTAGTGAAGTCAAATGCCCTGGTGGAAGACAGAAGTTGTGCAAAGCCAGGGAATCTGGGTCAGATTAACAGAAGCCGTTCTCAATCACCTAACCTCACTTGTCAGCAGAGTGAGGCTTCTGTCTCTTGTCAGGCCAGGCTGGCGAATATCACAAAGAAGCTGAAGGGTTCAAGTGAGGACGAGGTGGCTAAGTTATGTGCACTACCAAGCAGAACAGAACAGTTAGATAAGCACATTTAAAAAGGCTCTCTGCCTCCTTCACCCTCAGGTGTCTCCCAAAGTCAAGTGTCTTGATTACACAGATATGTCATGAAGCTTCTGGTAGTGCAGTGCTTCATGTCAGAAGCAGCTCATCTGGTGATGGGTGGCCAGTTGGAAGGTACTAAGCCATTAACCAAAGAACACTGGGGTCAGGTTCTGATCACCTGATCCCAGAACCAGTCCAGAATAAAGCTGGCATGCCCTGGCTCTGACAGTTCCCTCACCTCATTTTCCAGGGACAGGCTCCTTTCACATGATCCAGCCACATCACAGCAAGAAGTCAAGAAAAGCATTAAGTGTGGAAAACTGAGATACAAGGGGTAAATAAATGGTGTTTAAGAAAGTCTAAATATAAGAAGTCCAGGGAGCTTGAGTTGGTTTATCAGCAGTGGTATCAGCACTTTCCCTAAGTGATCTGTACTGTGGAAAACTGACTAAAAGTTTTGGTATGCAACATAAAATTACATTTATCAGCAAGGGGGAGGATATGTGTTAACTTCCTCCATGCTCCACTCCTTACCTATCTGAGAAAGGAATAACAGTATCTCTAAAAGATGAGTTAGCCATCCTGATAAAAGAACGCTATTTTTGGATTTCTAAGACCTGCTCAACAGCCTGACTTGTCAGCCATAGCAAGCCCACCATGGTCAATTTACCACTGTGATTTCAGACTGGTAACAATAAGAGATCCTGGTGGCAGAACCTCCAGGCCCAGCTGGGTGATGATGGAAAACTGTTCTGTAAACCCAACTGAATCCATTTTCTTAGACTGCCAGACATACTCCTGGAGACTCTTTTTAGTGCATCCCACAGGGCCCAGGAATTGCTTAAACTCCTGCTAGCAGGAAGGGGACATGCAGGTGCTGTTGACACTTCAGATTGTAACACACCCTTTCCCCTGAACTGCACATATTATGTTCCAGGTAGTTTCTTCCTGTGGGGTTTGGACAGAAAGCAATTTATTAAAACCTCCATGGTAAGGAAGACGCTCAGGAGATGGGAAATTTTACTAGGACTATATTGAACAGGTTTCTAGAAAGGAGAACTGTGCTGTATAGCCTGTTTCCTGTGTCAAACTGCTTTTTCCCCTTATCAGGGAGTCTGACAAGGCACTAAGGGACCACAAAAGCGACGGCCAAAGCACTGAGGTTTTTGTTTATCACCTGTCAGTCTACAGTTCTCCAGGTAATGCAAGCAGGAAGTGAGCTGGCAGCTTCCTCGGTGCTGGTTCATTACTGACCCAAGGTGTCTCTCCAGGGCCTCTTTGGCCCCGCCCTTGGCACAAGCAGCTCTGGTTCTATTTCCATGTCTGTTTCCACGACCAAAGTGGACCTACTGAATACCCGAGAAGACAAGGACAGTGATGTACAGCTCCCCCGGGTCAAAGTCCAGCTGGGCCTGACAGTGTCGGAGCCCTTAGGGAGCCACAGCAGCCACGTGACTTTGGCTCAAGAGTGGAAGGCAAGAGAATGAGAGCATTTCTAGGCTGCACAGCCCCCGCCTGCACACGTGGTATAAAAATGTGTTCATACCAGACACATCGGAGCACTTTTGGGAATCCACCATTAAAGCATCAAATACTTCAAAGTCAGTTTTCTTCACTTGAATGATGTTGTTAACTGTGCCAAGCTGGCTGGTTACTATTGGCTGGGAAGAGACAGACAGGCAGAAATCATCAAATGGAAGGTCTGTGGAGTTTATTCTTTAGAGGATTTGGAATTCCTAGCTAGAAGGTCTCATCTCTTGGCCACTCATCTTGGTGGAATACACTAATGGTCTAACAACTGGTGCCACCTTGCTCAGCCACACCCGGGACTTTTACCAGCAAGGCAAAGGGACCTGGCAACAAGCCACAAGGGACAGTGATTTGTATGGACTTGTGGCACCCAAAAGACCAAGGGTGGGTTGAAGAGTACCTCGGAAGGGTCATGTGTCCACTGACCGTCCACGAAGAACTTGTACTGATGTTCTCCTTCAGGCAGATCCAGGATGGCTACAAAGTTATTGTGGCTGCAAGGAGAAAGGAAAAAGAGCATTTCAGTTGGGTAGGCTATCCTCTTAGTTCAAACTAGCCAGGGAACAAAACAAAATGTTTCCATGTAAAACAGTACAGCTGCAGAAGAGCAAACATGTTCAACCAATTTGGACAATTCAGGATAGTGATCTCAACCTAGAAAAGCTATATGAGGAAGCAGCAGGGCAAGAGGTTTTCAAAAAAAAAAAAAAAAAAAAACTCACTTTGCTCAGATACTAGGAGTCTACATTCCTAACACTGAAGGTTAAATAGGCACTTCGAGTTTGCATGCAAAATACCACCTGGAAGCCCTGGATGTCAAGGAGGAGGACAATACAAGACGAACCCTAGCTGCCTAGTTTTATCCTTTGCCAGTTTGTCTTGGGAGGGGGAAGGGATCAGTGTATCAGGATGAACAAACCATCTTTAAAAAAACTTGTATAACTACTTAAAAAAAAAAAAAAAAAGATTCCGATTCCAGGAACCTCTCTCATTTGACTATTTTGTTCCCCTGACTTTAAATAACTTTTGACTACTGTGTTGAGTGACTCCCTTCTTCTCTGTTACCATTGTTCTTTCATAAAGAGTACTCACTAGAAGATATTTTTCTCCTGGACAATTTGAGATAGATGTCCGTGTCAGGATTTCTGATAAAATGCCTTACTGTGTCCTTGCTATGGTGCCTACAATAGCATGTACCTTCCAGGTAAAAGTAATACACAGAGTCAAAGTTAGAACAAACCTTAGAGACCATCTGGTTCAATATTCCCCTTTCTATAGATGAAAACTGAGGCTCAGGAGTGAAGTGAATGTGCTGCCCACGTGGGCTCCAATCGGTATCTCTAGGATTCCTAGCTCAATCCTCTCTCTAGTACACTAGGAATATTCTCTTTCTCAGGAGATCTGAATTGAGACATGTCCATGACACAGAAATACTCTCCACTGAGGAATTTGTTTTCTTCTTTAAAAAAAAAAAAAAAAAAAAAAAAAAAGATAAAAAGAGATGTGCATTAAACTCAGAGACTTCTTGGGTTCGAGATTTGCATCCTATAACTTATTAAGCAAAATTTTCTAATTTGGCATTTATTTTACAAAAACAATTTTCAGAAGCAAGGATATTCATGGGTTAAGACAAACATTTGAGCACTCCTCAAGCAATTACCTTCTTGTGAGGGGAAGTTTATTCCAGTTGTTGAAGGACCCAGATAAGTAAACTTCCTTTCCGCCACCTGTCCATCGAAATACAGTTGGCCGAGCCTGGGCGGGAGCTTTATCATTCACTTCAAGATCATGCTGCCAGGCCAGGAACTCGTCCTTCTCTGGAGCCTAGAAGCAGAGCAGTTTACTCAGCAATAAGAAGCCATTAGTAAGCTATCTACAATGGTCTGCTAACCAAATATTGACACTTCATTTTAAAGAGGCAGCCACTGCCACTGAGGCTTGTCTCTTACTAGAAGTACCTGTTTCCCAACCTGCAAAATGGAGATACTAAAAATAACTATTTCTTGAGGTTGTTGTAAGGGCTGAGATAGTCCATGTAAAATGCTCTGCATAGTGTTTGACACATAGTGAGTGCATAATAATTATTAGTTATTATTGTTATTATTGCTTCGAAAGAGGTCTATATAAAAAAATTCTAGAGGAAACTATAAAACCTGCTTTGAAGAAGATTGCTATGAATTCAAGACAAGCTTAATAAATGTCATTTTTCTCCATTAATTAAGCAAGATTTGAAGTATGTGGGAATTTATTAGGGACAATTCTAGAGTTGTTAACTAGAAAATTGGCAAATTCAGACTGTGAGGAAGGAAAAAACTATCAACTAAGTGCTGTCTAGAACTGAGGAGAAAGACAAAACAAAGACTGATTCCCTCATTATGGTTAACAATGATATCCAGTGTGGTAAGCAAAGAACTGAGGTATCCCAGCTTAAGAGAGAAAGAGCCTATCTAACCCTGTCTGGGTGAAATTAATTTGGTTATGGCTCTTTTACATTTTTTCCTAGTAAGAAGCCAAAGACTTTAAAAGAGCAGGAATTCTTGACTGGGAGATATCCTTAAGGGAGTCCAGCAGGCTTCTAGCACCTTCATTTCAGTACTCATCTGAGCTTATCTAAACATGCCTGCATTCTTTGGATCCTAACAACATGTACAGCTTATCGAATAACAGACTGGAATTGCTTTAGGTAGATGAGGTTAAGTAACTGCAGCAAAAATGGTGAACTGGAATGGTTAAAAGAATTCATGACTTTTTTTTAGTCTCTGGGGCATCTAATCCAATGTGTGCGCTAGCTACATCATTTCAGTAACTTCTGATGAAATCAATCTCCACAGGTCATCTGCATGCTAAACATTTCTTGTAAGAGTTTTGGAATGGCAACAACATATACTTCTGGAAGAAAGTAGTTTCCTTCTTATGATAGTTTATAAAATAACCTTGGGGCCAAAATTAATTCCGGGGGAGGCATGTCAAGTCACTGGAGAAACGTGATTCCAAAGTTCCCTACACACACCTTTTCAGGAATGCAATGAGTTCAGAAAACAAGTTCATATCACAGGATGCAGGGCCAAGTAAAAAAAGGAGACTCTTGGGCTGGAGGCGAGGCTCAAGTACCTGCCTAGCAAGCATAAAGCCCTTTGTTCAAACCTTCAAAAGTAGGCTCTTTATGGTTAGATTTAGAACCAAAATCCAAGTAACAGTATGAGACAAATAATGTGATCACTCAGCCTAATATCTGAGAAAAAACAAACAAAAAACATGAGTAAAGGTGGAATGAGTTCCCAGGCAAGGACTATGACAATTTGCATGCAAGTGAATGGTAACAGACACTGTGTTGGGCAGAGGCCACCTTCATTCTTCCTAAACCTACTTTATTCCTTTAAAGAATTAGTTCTTCACTTGCTAGAATCACTAAGTGTCCTTGGACTTGGCCCTGCAGCTGGAAACACAAACCGCATCAAGATGGTTAAGACAATGTGGTCAAAGCAGGAGTCAAGAGTCACCTTAATTTTTGATGAATTAAAGCAGACTGTAGCAGGAAGTCCAAGATAGACCTGCAAGGATGTTTGCTTTGGTCTGCTGAAAATATGTCACGTTTAAATAACACGAGAAGTTGAGTGGCTTTGGCTGTCTCCTTCAACTTGAACGCCACTCTCCTTCACGAGCGGAATTACCTTTTCCTGGGTGCTCTAAAAAAGCACGCGGTGAGCCAAAAGTGTCAGAACCAAGCAACTGTGGTCAACTACTCAATTTTACTTTCTGCTTACACGTGTGCTCTGGTTTATCTCCAAAGTGGACAAGAATTCCGAAACCAACTTTTACCAAAGCGCCAAGGCGAGGGAAGTTGTGAAATTAATTACACCGAAGAGAAAAGCAGACTCTGGTGCTCAATTACTGCTGGCGCGACTCTTTTAATTAATTACGAATTTGAAGCTCGGTCCCAGGGCTTGCTTTTCTCCTTAATGATGTTAAACGAAATGAGCTCCTCCTCCCGCAGGGCGACTTTCTCCTATTGGTAATGAGGTTCCTGGACGGCTCAGAGGACTCTCAAAAGGCCAGCTGGACCCCCGCGCGCTGTGCCACCTCCCTCCCGGCTCTCCGGGTGGGTTTTGGAGGGGATGTGGCGGGAATGGAGGAGACACTGGACAAGGGGCCCGGCTTCCCCCAGCCCCCGTACCTTGATTTCCTCGGAGTGGAAGAGGTCGGCGTCTTCCGGGCTGTCCATCAGGATCTTGGGCCTGTCCCCGTCCTTGGCGCCCCCTGAGCTGTCCCTCCGGGGCGTCTTATGGCCACCCTGCCGCTCCAGCGCGGCGCGCTCACTGCTCGTGTTGCCCATGGCGGGGGTCTGCGGGGACACGGGACGGAGCCTCACTCCAGGGAAAGGACCGGGGGACCTAGGACCCCGGGGAAGGGCCGGAGCGCCGGGGTACCACGCTCCTCAAGTGAGGGCTCAGGCCGGCAGCTGGCTGGAGCAGGTCGGCAGGGTTGGCAACGTCCCCAAGTGGTCGCGCTTTACCTGCTCTGGTAGTCGCGACTCGAACCCTAGAAGCGGGAAGGTAACCTGACACTTTCCCAACAACTCCCCACCCCTTAGTAACTTCCGCTTCCGGAGACTCCCTGAGTGGCTCCTGCCCAGGGCGGGAGGGATGGCTGCGGCGGGCGGAGTGCATCAAGCCCACTTGACCTCACTTCCGTTTCCGGCCTGGAAGGCGCGGTTGCCGGCAGCCTCGGCCGGCCTCAGAGCGCGCAGTCGCAGTCGGCTGTTCAGGACCGCGCCCAGGACATGGCTCCTGATCGCCAGCAGGAGGCGCACGTGTGCGCAGGTCGTCCAGGCAGCTCTTCCCGCGCTGGACAAAGGGTGATGCCGTTAGATGTTGAATCTTCTGATCGTGCACTCTACAGCCAAAGGAATCCTAAAGTGCAAATCTAATTAAGAGTCCCTTAAATCCCTCTAATACACTGACCCTCACGCTTTAGAGTGCCTCAGAATCATCTGGGGTGCCTGTTTAAAATGTACTCCCCACTCCAAACCTGCAGAATTATAATTTCTGCTGATGAGGGTGGGGAATGCATGTGTAGTCTTATAGGTGTGTGAGAAAATGGCAGACCATAAGATCTCTGGAGACTTCTTAGCTACTGTAGCTTGGAGGTTTCAAATCACTAGAGTTATTAGTGTGTTTTTATTAAACTGAGTGAATAGCCTTTTGCTAAGTCATTTTGGAAGATTATGTAATCACATTGGACATATGATTTTGCATAAAATGCACTGTTTGCCATTTACCGTGGTCAGTGCTTCTGTAAGAAGTGCATACCCTTATGATCCTAAAATAGTTTAATCTTCTCGGTCAGTCATTGTCATGTTTTGTTTTGTTTCACTTTTGTGTGTATCAGAAAATACACTGCGTTTGCTATGCTCTGCCGTGCATTTCATCCTCTGAACGTTTATTTAGAACCTACAACGTACCAGATATTTCACTAAGTAAATGGGGAACACAGATGACTAACATATGGTCTCCTGGAGGGAATTCAACAGTATCTATCAAAATTAAAAATGAATCTTCATCTTTATGCACAATTTTTATTGTAGTAAATGTCTACAGAAATGCACACATGAAAAATTATATACAAGCATGTTCGTTCATATTAGCTCTGATATATTAATTCTAAGATGCACATTTTAAAAACATTTTAATCTCTCTGAAATTGGATGCTTCTTACAATTAAAGGAACCTTAGATATGATGAAACAAGGAAATTAAAAACTGTAAAGCCCTAAAAGTTTGTCAGTAGAAGAGTGGCTAAATGGCTTTTATAGAATTCTGAGCAACATTTAAGAAGAAATAGCTGGACATAGTGATACACACCTGCAATTCCAGCACTCAGAAGGCTGAGACAGAAGGAATGAGAGTTTGAGACTAGCCTGGGCTCCATAGTGAGACCCTGTCTCAAAAGAGGAAGAGAAGAAAATAAAATTACGTGGATAACTGTGAAGAGGTGTGTATGACGGCAATTTCCAAAAGCAAGTGACAGAATAACAAAAGTTAAGAAATTTCAGGTCAGCCTACCTGGTTCTAGTCCCAAAGGAATCCATAGAGTAGAGAGGTCGGAACAACCCACAGGAAGGCAGTAAGATAGATAGGCAAGGATTCTACAGGATCCTGGAGGGTCTTAATCCAGGCCAGGAGAAAGGATAGGAGCCAAGAAAGGTTTCCTGGAACTAATGATGGGCAGGCTGAATTTATTAAATATAATCAGAAATGTTGACTGTGTTGCTGAACTGAATAAGCCAAGATAGCATGGCTGACCCGGAATAGATTCTCTGAGCTGTTTTTCTAACAGTGAGCCCGACTTGCTCACAAGAGGCAGCAGGACAGCCATGAACTTCAGGTTCTCTTCCTAACAACTTGAGAGATGGGGAAGAACACATGAGTTGTAGACTCCTTATCTGAGCTTTGTAGATGCTTTGATGTGTAAGGAAAGTTTCAAGACTTCTCTTCTGCTTAGATAACAGTGAAAGCCTGAACCATTGATGCCAAACGCCATGGGTGATATCCTGAAGATGCTGTCAGTGGTTTTCAATCAATGGAGACAGCCCAATTATTGGAGTTGTACAGGTGTGCCCTGCACAGGGAAGCCTGCCAGAGGAGGCAAGTAGATGCTGAGATTTCACCTGAGCTCCATTCTCCAGACTGTGTTGCCTGGCACCCACCTCTTTCTTTTTTTTTTTTTTAAGTAAAATGTAATTTTTCTTTTATTATTCATATGTGCATACAAGGCTTGGGTCATTTCACCCCCCTGCCCCCAACTCCTCCCTTACCACCCACTCCGCCCCCTCCCTCTTCCCCCACCCCACCCCCTCCCTTTCCCCCCCACCCCCTCAATACCCAGCAGAAACTATTTTTCCCTTATTTCTAATTTTGTTGTAGAGAGAGTATAAGCAATAATAGGACGGAACAAGGGTTTTTGCTGGTTGAGATAAGGATAGCTATACAGGGCATTGACTCACATTGATTTCCTGTGCGTGGGTGTTACCTTCTAGGTTAATTCTTTTTGATCTAACCTTTTCTCTAGTTCCTGGTCCCCTTCTCCTATTGGCCTCAGTTGCTTTTAAGGTATCTGCTTTAGTTTCTCTGCGTTAAGGGCAACAAATGCTAGCTAGTTTTTTAGGTGTCTTACCTATCCTCACCCCTTCCTTGTGTGCTCTCGCTTTATCATGTGATCAAAGTCCAATCCCCTTGTTGTGTTTGCCCTTGATCTAATGTCCACATATGAGGGAGAACATACGATTTTTGGTCTTTTGGGCCAGGCTAACCTCACTCAGAATGATGTTCTCCAATTCCATCCATTTACCAGCGAATGATAACATTTCGTTCTTCATGGCTGCATAAAATTCCATTGTGTATAGATACCACATTTTCTTAATCCATTCGTCAGTGCTGGGGCATCTTGGCTGTTTCCATAACTTGGCTATTGTGAATAGTGCCGCAATAAACATGGATGTGCAGGTGCCTCTGGAGTAACCTGTGTCACAGTCTTTTGGGTATATCCCCAAGAGCACCCACCTCTTTCTAATTTGTTCAAATACACAACATGGACTAGCAATGGCCCTGGCCCCTTTCCAACAGAAACAACTGAACATAAGAATCAGAGGTAGCAAGTATTTTAGAGTCCCTGCCATAAACACAATACACACAAATTCTGGGAAGCCACACTGAAATTTCATAAAGGGACATTTTAGTCTTCATGGAGCTCAGAATTTTTTTAAAAGAACTTTTATTTGTTAATGCATTAGGTGTAGGCAGGTGGATGAATTTTCACCATCTTTGGAAGAAATATTTGGGAGAATTTAACTTATAATGCTATCATGCATCCTCCTAACTGACTTTGACATACTCTCAAGGAGATCTCAAAGACATGAAATTGGGGAAAAAAGGTCTGAGTAAATGCAGATGGAAGAGACTCTTGTAATATCCCATTAAAATCAGCTAGTGGCTCCATGTTGAAAAATCACAGGTCGGGTAGACTCTTCATTTACAATATTCATTCACTCTCTCTTGGGCCACTTTTTGTTTTTTGTTATCTTTTTCTTTTTCTTTTTGTGGTACTAGGGATTGAACCTAAGTCCTCATGCTTGCTAGGTAAGTGCTCTACCATGTGAGCTACACTCCCAGTTCTTTTGTTTTTATTTTTCTGTGATAGGGTCTTGCTAACTTTGCAAGAACTGGCCTCTGATCTTAATCCTCTTACCTCTGCCCCCCTAGTAGCTGGAATTATAGGCATGTACCACCACACCACTATGTTACTTATCTTTATGCAATAATGGCTCATGATTCTCTCTAGCATCAGAAATACTTTTTCTTTTTCTGTTTCTGCACAGATGTGAGTGTCAGCTCACTCCAACCTGGGGGCTGGAGGAGGGGGTTTGCCATGGAGTCCACATTAGGGGCTTAACTGTGTCAGAGACACACTGGGTGTGGACATTGGTCTCAGTCTGAAATTGGGGCATGAAAGGAAGGAAGGGATGGGGGGATGCTCTTATAATAGCAACCTGCTGTTGCTGGAACTAATCTACTCCTAGGAGATGTGACCCGCTCCTGAGACTCAGCATTAATCTGTTCATGAGGGCGAAGCCCCCATGACTTCATTGCCATCCAGTAGGCTCCTCCTCCTCCTCCTTGTCCTCCTCCTCCTCCTCTTCTTCTTCTCTCTTCTCTTCTTCTCTTCTTTTTCTCCTTCTTCTTCTTCTTCTTCTTCTTCTTCTTCTTCTTCTTCTTCTTCTTCTTCTTCTTCTTCTTCCTTTCTTCTTCTTCTTCTTCTTTTCTTCTTCTTCCTCTTCCTCTTCCTCTTCTTCTTCTTCTTCTTCTTCTTCTTCTTCTTCTTCTTCTTCTGGACTGGGGATTGAACCTAGGGCCTTGCACATGCTAGGCAAGTGCTTTACCACTGAGTTACACCCCGAGCTCAGGCCCCACTTCTTAAAGGTTCCACCACCTTAACATCTCTACATTGGGAGCCAAATTTCCAACACATGAACCTTTTCCAAACCATTTCCAAACCCTCACAAGGGATTTGTTTATCTTTTCGTGCTAGACCTTCCTGTGTTTTCTTTCTACTGAGCTATAAATGCCACGTAATAGTCATTGACACAGAATGAAATGAAGTCATCCTATAGTAGGTGGTCCACTGAAGAATACTGATGGAGAACCTATACATGGTGTGTGTTGTTTTGGGTGCTGGGAGATAAAGGAGTAACAAGACAGATAACATTCGTCCCTTTGCAAAGCTGATGTGGGAGACAGATATACACAAGCAAACCAACATGCTGGATAATCTCACATAGCGCTGACTACCATGAAGAAAACAAAGTGAAACTGTGTGAGAGAGTGACAGGGATACTTCTTCAGATGAAGTGGTCACTGAGGGCCTCTTTGAGGAGGTGACAAGTGGGCTGTGAGACTCAATGATAAGAAGCAGACAAACTTGAGATGAGTTTGGGAGGAACATTTTGGACAGAAGGAAAGTAGAATTGCAAAGGCCCCCAGGTGGACATGAACCTATGTGCTAGACACACAAAGGCTATTTGTAGGATGGCTGACATGTATTGGGGGGAGGGGGAGAAGTTTGACCCTGTTGTGCCTTGGTCACA